AGGAATCCTTACACGAGACTGGAGAAAAAGTCTCATTGTAATCAATCCCTTCTCTTTGTGTAAAGCCTTTTGCCACAAGTCGGGCTTTATATCTTTCTATATTCCCTTGAGAGTCAAGTTTTGTTTTGTAGACCCATTTACAAATTCTCTTGCTTTTGGCTCCTTTAGGAATTATCTCCAAATCCCAAACTTTATTTGCATTCATTGATCTCATCTCATCTTCCATGGCCTCAAGCCACTTTGATGAATGATCACTTTTCATGGCTTCTTCAAATGAGGTGGGATCATCCCCATTTGAAATTCTTCATGTTGTACACTTCATAATCAAAGAGAAATAGCTGATTTTCTAACTCTTTGAGACCTTCTAGGGCCTCCTCAATTGGCACATTTTCATTGAGGTCATGTTGTTGCTCCCCCTCATGTGTGGCAATAGGTTCTATAGGATCCCGAGCCACGTGTTCCTCATCATCATTCATTGTTGCCACAAAGCGGATAACAACAGTCTTTGGCACCACAGTGTCTTATCTTGTTATCACAGCAAAGAATGAGTAGTGAGTGAGAAAATGGCTCATGAATGATCGGAGGGGTGCATACACCCGCTTCTCTTCAAGGTCAATTTCTCGAGCTACCATGCTCCCCTAATCATTTCATCCTCTAGGAAGACAAAGATGTCTCGTTTCCACAATTTGTATGTCATTAGGGGCAAGTGAAAACGAAAACCTTTTGACTTTTACGGGTAGCCAATGAAATGGCAACTCACCATTTTGGGATCTAGCTTCCCAATGTTTGGGTTAAAAACTTTAGCCTCAGCAGGGGCTCCTCCACACACGCAAGTGGTTAAGTGATGGTACTCTTCCCCATCCACAACTCATATGGTGTTTTGGGCACCGACTTACTTGGTACTCTATTGAGAATATGAATGGCGGTTTTTAACGCCTCCATCCACAGACTCGTGGGTAAAGTGGAGTAACTTATCATACTACGCACCATATCCATCAAGGTATGCAGTTCGCTTTCTCACTACTCCATTCTCACTGAGGTTCGCCTTGTTGAATACCGGGGCGACTATACCATTCTCCTGTAAGAACCTTGCAAAAGGTCCAGAACTTGTCCATATGGGGTATGCCGACCGTAGTACTCTCTCCACGGTCGAGACACTATCTTAATCTTTAAATCATGCTGATTTTCAACTTCGCTTTAAATATTTTAAATTTATCCCACGCTTCATTCTTTCTTTAATTGGATAAATGTAGCCAAACCGAGAGTAATCGTCTGTGAATGTTATGAATGAATCATAACCATCCACACTTTTCACGGAAAAGGACCACATATGTCCGTGTGAATAATCAGAGAATTCCTGCGCTTCGTTTGGCATCTTTCTTAATTTTCTTTACATACTTTCCTTTTATGCAATCTCTACATTGTTCTAACTCGAGAGCTCTAATGGAGGAAGAATATCATTCTTAACTAGTCTTTCTCTATTCTCCCCTCGAAATATGGCCTAAATGATGCGGTGCCATAATTTCGACAACGCATCTTGAGCTCTCTTTAGTTTTTTCTCGTTTCCATTGTTCGATGAGGATATATTTTCATTCACATCACATACGGAATTAACATTTTCACGAAGTGATAACAAATAAAGCTCGTCTTGTCGGAAGGCAAGACCAATACATTATTATTAAACAATATCGACATTTGCCATTTCCAAAATGGCAATCATAACCATCATGGTCCAACTTTGAAACACTAATCAAATTTCTTTGCAAAGAAGGTATATAAAGAACATCTCTAAGAATAATTATGAAGCCATCAACAAGCTCTAACGGAAGATCACCAACGGCCTCAACATCTGCTTGTTCTCCATTTGCGACTTTAATGAAACTTTCGCTTCTTTGCAAAGTTCTCATCGAACGGAATCCTCAGAATGAATTAGCAACATGAATAGTTGCACCCAATCAATCCACCAAGTAGATTTTGAAAACTTTACATACAAGGATTCATTTACTGAACGTAATAATGTTCTCACCTTTATTCTTCATAATCATCTTTAAGAAATCGTGACAATTCTTTTTATAATGTCCTGTCTTCTTGCAGTGGAGACACTGGTCTTTAGCCACTGGGAATTGCTGGTTCTGAGACTGTTGCATGGGACCTTTTCCAGATGATTTGGAGGAAGAACTGTTATTATAGTTCTTTTTCTTATCTTTTAGGTAGTTGATGAAACCACCTTGTGAAACTTTTATTCTTTCCTCCTCCTCCTTTTTACACATGGCTATGAGCTTTTCCAAATCCCATTTTTCAGTCAGTATGTTGTAATTAACAACAAATGTGTCAAATTCTTTGGGCAAAGAAGCAAAAATCAAATGAATAAGAAACTCATCCTTGAGTGCCAAATCCATTGGTTTGAGCTTAGATGCCGATTGCTCATTCTCAAGATATGTGCTCTCTAATGCCACCGCCGCCACCAGAGTACTTTTCAGTGACCAAATTGCTTGATCACCGGGTTGCATATGTCTTTGAAGAGCCAATGAACCCGACTCTTTATTCTGTCTAGGTACTCTGTGACCGTGTCACAGATGCAGAATTGAGCCCACTATAGCGAGCTCAATCGTGTTCTTTATCAACGCTGCAGACACTTCTTGTTGGCGATGACCCATTTCCTATGCTCAAGGTCATAGGACATCTTTACGGGAGCAAAATCCCGCTCTGCTCGCCATGCGATGTCGGGCCTCATCTGCTTCCCTTACCGGTGCCTCGGGTTCTTTTAGGGCACGGTGTGGTGACAACCAGTCCACCTCAAATGGATAAAGGCCAGTCTATCTTTTCTTCCACTCAATATAGTTATCACCTTTTAGAGTGGGGATTTCTTTGATACAACTCATCAAGTTGTATCCTCCTCGCTAACATAATTCAAATAGGGTGAGAACAGAATAATAACAATAATTGCATGCCTTAGTTTAACGTTGGTCAAAATTAAAACATACAATTATTTTCTACACTAATTCTACATCACCGTTAAGCGAAATAGAATTAATGTATGACAAAAACATTATAATATTGCCATTAATCAACGTTGGTCAGAATAACAACAATATTATAATCAATTTAAAACATATCCATTTTCAAAATTAAATTCTCCCGTTGGTTCAAATTTAATAATGAAAATTACATCTTTAAATACGCAGCGGAAACTTTAACATTTAATAATCTTTTCCTATTTTCCGTAGCAAATTTACTATTTATTGAACAAAAATATCGTTGGATAAATTTTGTACGAAAATTATCATAAAAATCAATTCAAATTGATCAACCTGCTTTCTGGAAAATAAGAAAACAAAAAGCGTGACAATATATCTGCTCATTTGACCATTTCGCCCACCCAAAGACACGCACGGCTCCACGGCTTCGCTTCACGCCAAGACGCTTGCTGCCAAATAAACCGCCCAAAGAACATGCTGCCCATCCAGCTGGCAATTTCAGCCTCACCACCAAATTGCGTCTGCGCTTCTCCCAGCGCCCGGCCGCAACTGGCTGGGCCGGATTTCGACCTTGTGCCTATCCCGCTGGTCATGGGCGCTGCCTGATCGCCCGTGACCGTCCATCTCCATCCGACGGTTTGCCTTGCGTTTTGAACAAAACCGCCCGACCCGCCCTCTCCCTCAACCCTAGGTTCATTTCACTTCTCTCCTTCTTCTCTCCTCCTTGTAGCCGCTCTCAGAGACCAGCAGCAGCATCCGTCCTCGATGGCCGAGGGAGAAGAAGGCGGCGCACCGCCCAGCGCCCTCTCGCCGTGCGTGCTTTCGCCGAGGCCGAGCACGCCGCCGTCGAGGGGCCGCAGGGTGGTGCCTGCTGCCGTGACCGCTTAGCGAGGTGCGGTCTGGATCTCGGCCTGTCCCCGCTGCTGCCGTTCGGGAGCGACGCGCCATGTCTCCTATCCATGGCATGTGGCGATCTTTGCCGCGGCGGTGGGTAAAGCCAGTAGGCTTCCTTTTAGGGTTAGGGTTTGGTTTTCCGATTTGAAATCGGTTCCTTTCCTTTTCTTTTCCCACAGCCAAGGCGTGCTTTCGACGGCGAGGTGACCGAGCCACCCTCTTCCCCTTTCTTTGATTCATTTGTTCGGATTTTAGCCCGATTTGACGATTAGGGTTAGGGTTAGGGTTGAGACGGCCATCGCTTTTCTTTTCCCGAATCACCTTCGGGTTTTAGGGTTCGTTCTTTGCATGAAAACCGAGCCCTTCTTCTTTTCTCGATCCGACGGATCGAGTTAGGGTTCAATCAACATCGGGTGACCCCTTTTTCGCTTAGATCCACACCGGATCTAATCAACTTTTCCTTTTCTAATCGATTACTGTTCTAGATCTACGTGCTAATATGCTCTGGTACCATTGTAAACTTTCTTTGGATCGACTAGAGTAGATCTAGGCGGATGAACTCATAGATCCATGAAACACATGCACATTTAGACCTATAACACTACACCGAGAGGGAGATAGGGGAGAGAGGGCTGGTGATGAACCCGAGCCTCCAGATGATGTCGCAGCTTGTGCTAGCCATCGCGGGTTTGGTGATGGAGGCGGCACACAGGCAGGCAACAGGGTGGAGTAGAGGTTGCACCGCAGACGTCGATAAAGAGCGCGGTCGAGGCGTAGCGATGGCGACGACGAGGATCGGCGAGCTTCCGTCATTGGGTGCAGCGCCCTCTCGAGATCGGTTTAGGGTTTGTCGGTGGGGTTTGCGGCTCACGGCGAACCTCGTACCTTGAGCCGCCGGCCCCCACCTCTTTATATAGCGCAGTGCGACGGGGGCCCACCAACCATGTAGGGTTGGGCGCCCCCGATCAGGGCGCGAGACCAAGGCCCAATAGGCCGTTGGGCTTATTAGTCAGGAGATTAATCTAACAAGATCAGCTTGTAATATACTGGAGTGGTTTTGAGGGATAATAGTCACATCTTTAATGTTTTCCTTGAGGAAAAAATCTTTCATGTCTTCATTCCATTAAGATGGCCTTACATTTCCTACCTTATGACTTATGGTTTTGCTGCTTGTGGCTGTTTCTTTCATTAGAGCTGTTAAGAGAAAACAAGCGAATGCTGGACCGATCCATCAGGGAAATTGAGCGGGAGAGGCAAGGATTGCAGGCCCAGGAGAAAAAGCTCATCACTGAGATCAAGAAAACAGCTAAAGAAGGCCAGATGGTATGAACTCTGCTATCTTTTGGATGTTGGAAGTCATATTTTGATTCTGTTTCTGTTATTTATCCTGCTTGATATCTGGAATTGTTGGAAGTCATCTTTTTTTTTAAAAAAAGAATTTCTTTTGGACAACAGCCTATATGTGAATTAACCTTCAACCATGATAAATCATATGTATACAACAGTTCCATGTGTGTGGGAACTGGGAACTTCAAGATATGTCCACCTATTTTCACTTTACGTAAAGACCTGTAAGTTTGGTTGACAGCCACATTTTGCCACAATGAACTCATGAAAATTTGACTTGCTTGTTGATTTGTTTGTTGACACACCAATTACATTTTCTTAGCCCCTGTGTCACTTGTCATAGGTCTGTTCCATTCCCAAGCTTGCAAGACTCATAAATAGAACTTTAAGGTCAGATTAGGGGTCTAAAACTTCTATTCTAAATTATATCAAGTATTTTATTTATACTTCATTCAATAGCGTAGCAATATTAACCTGACAATTCTTGCTGTCAATGTTTTCCATCTTCAATTTACAACACATAAACGTACACGGAAGTTCTGTGCATTGTTAGAATTTCATTCATTTTGCATGTAGTGTTTGTGTTCTAACTTTTTGTTACTGTTATAGGGAGCTGTCAAAGTAATGGCCAAAGATCTTATTCGTACCAGGCATCAGATAACAAAGTTCTACCAACTTAAATCTCAGCTCCAAGGAGTTTCTCTAAGAGTTCAGGTAGCCATGTGCTTGCTTTTATCCTCTCTTTATGTTTGTACCTTATAATCACCTTGTCAAACATCACTATCATGCTACATTAGGTTACCCTAGTTTATGTTGGTGTAGTGGCTTACCAGTATGGTCTACTGGCCATCAAAACCAAGAGAGGTAAAAGGTCTTAGTTTTTGCTGTCTCAAATTCCATGTGCTTTGTATAGCATTATTTTGTCCTTCTTTTTTGTTATTTGGCTGTAGGAAAAAACAGCTTTATGGTGAAGTCCATAATTTTCGTATGATTAATTAAATTTTGTATCGCATCCATTTTCCCTTCCCCTAATATCAGATATGCGCAACTGCTGCAGACATTAAAATCAACTCAAGCTATGGGTGATGCCATGAAGGGTGTTACAAAGGCAATGGCTCAAATGAACAGGCAGCTAAATCTGCCAGGATTGCAGAGGATAATGCAAGAGTTTGAACGACAGAACGAGAGGATGGAGATGGTGAGCGAAGTGATGGGAGATGCCATAGATGATGCTTTGGAAGGAGATGAGGAAGAAGAAGAAACTGAGGAGCTTGTGAATCAAGTACTTGATGAAATTGGCATTGATATCAACCAAGAGGTGGTTACCGTAATAATTCTACAATTTTCACATGTAGTAATTCCTATTATTTCGTTTACTCTTATCAGGTATTATCGTAACATTATTTTTTGTACCTACTACCTATGATAGTTGCTTTTTTTTAGCTTTCAAAAAATTGTCCAGTGCCAGTTGTACCTTTTTAGTTTTTTAAACCTGCTTTCATTATTGATTTGTTTCATACAAATGTGATATGTGCCACCTGCCAAAGGGCCTCTAGTCCAGTTGATCAGAGTACCCCGGCGGCACTCCTTAGGTCCTGAGTTCGACTCCCCGTGGGAGCGAATTTCAGGCTGAGGTTAAAAAAATCCCCTCATCCCGTCCCATATCCAAAGCACTGGGGGGACACTAGCCCAATTCTCACTTGAGCGACGGAAAGCCACCGTGTAAGGGTGGAGTTGGGGTTCAGGGGTTTTCTCGGCCTGATGAGAAGGTCTTCTTCTTATTTGGAATGCTGTGGGGGCAGTCTTAACCCTTTCAGGTCGAGGTTTTTTTTTTTTATATGTGCCACCTATATCAAATATTTGATGATTTCCAGACCTTTTGCTCAGTAACATGATATATGCCCATGTTAGAAATAGCTCTACTATACATTTTTTTAGAAACTCACTACATCCAGCATTGGATTAATGTAGAAATCATGCACACAAATTAAAGTTATAACTCTTGTAATGCTAAATCTGACTTTTGAAAGTGTTGCCATGACCAAGTGCTAGATCAGGACTGATGCATCTGAGTCCGCATGGATAGGTGTTTGATTGGAGAATACTGCAGACTGAGAAAGCTTAGTGTATACTCCACATATATATAACCAAATTTTGTATTTGCAGCTTGTTGGAGCCCCGTCGGCCGCTGTTACTCAACCTGCTTCTGCTGGAAGGGTTGCCCAGGCCGAGAGTGCTGGGAATGCTGACAGTGGAATCGACGCGGATTTGCAGGCAAGGCTGGACAATCTGAGGAGAATGTAGGTGCTGCACTAGCAAAAGAGTAGCGCCTTCTAGCACTGTTGCCTGTGAATGTGAATGAATACCTAGTCTCAATCAAAGCAAAGTTTACAAGCCAGTGTGTATGTTCAAATGAATCAAGTGTTCAATATGCCGGTAGTAATGACAGCTGTTTTAAATATATATATATATTTACATGTATTGTCGTATGCAATTTCTTCCCCTCCGATTCATGACGATTGATGTCTGCAAATGTGGCAAATGCGGTATGTTAGCTGCGTGCTAACTGTGATTTACAAACTGTTGTTTGGGCGTGTTTGGTTTCTTCTCCCAACACTATGTTACTTTACCCAGCTAGAATTCCAAGCAAGCCTCTCAGTTTGGATCGCCTGTACGTGTTGGAGCTTGTGCCGGCGAGATTCAGCTGGCTCGTGTGGGAGAGACAAAAAGGCTCGCTTGCCTGGGCGAGCTTCTCGTTGCTCACACCAGCAAGCCGAGCGAGGCGAGGCCAGGCGCTGCTCAGAACCAAACTCGCACAATGTTTTATGATGCTTCCTAAAACTAAAAAAAAAAAAATCCTCTGCCAACAATTCCCTTTTCTTTGCTTATGCTTGCTTGCTCAGATCCCTAGGAACACTAGCCGGAAAACCAAACACGTTTTCCTTTATACTTCCTAGCTGGGCAAGGCGAGCTGAGGGCTGGCTGAAGATCCAAACTGGCCGAGCAAGAACAGAGAGAGGAGCTGGGAAGTTCCGCGTAACTCTCAGGCGTCGAGAGAAAATCTCAACTAGTTTAACTGAACAACAAAAAGAGATCAACAACCTTTCTCGAAAAAAAGAGAGAGATATAGAGATAAAAAGATGATGAGATAAATACGGGATTTACGGCCAGCCGACACTATAAATATGCCGTAACACCGCAGCCCCATTCCATGTCCATCTCCGTCTTTTCGAAATGGCGGCAGCAACCAGCTGCAGCTCGCTCCATCTTCTCCTTGCCTCGCTCAGCGCGTTTTTCTTCTTCCATGCCTCCGCTGTGCACACCCTCGCCGCAGCCACCGGCGGAGCAAGGATCGATGCGACGACGACGGCGGCCACCACCAGCGATGGCGGTGACGCAAGGTCAGCTCGGCAGCACTATTCTACACTCTACACTCTAGGTGTAGAATAAAAATATTGAGCAGTACTAAACCACGTTCGGTATCAGCTAATACTAAATACTCAAACGCGACTACTGAATTTTGTTCGGTACAACAGCTTGGTGTAGTGTGTATATATATATATATATATATATATATATATATATATATATATATATAACTACTATCTGGCTATAAAATAACTTATTCTATTATTCTATAGCTACTTTGAGTTATGATAATTATTATGCTAATTTACACGATTATAGTAACTCCTTACAGTGTGATTTACTATAACGTTACAATAAATATCCACATGTGTTATAGTAACCCAACTATCGCAAATATGTATTGACATTATTGTAAATTAGTATATAAAATTATTGTAAATAGAGGTGGCTACAGGATAACTTATTTTGTCGCCGGCTACTAAATATACTCTCCATATATATATATATATATATATATATATATATATATATATATATATATATATATATATATATATATATATATATATATATATATATATATATATATATATATATATACACACACACACGCTAATTGATACCTAGGGTACTAAATAATATTCGGTACCCGAGCCCCTCTGCTCCACCACCGCCCTGTGCGTCCTTAGGCGTGGTTTTTTTTTCCATGGCTTGTTTTCCTCCCATGGCCGTGTTTTTTTCCACACATGGACTTGTTTTTCTGTTTTGTTTTGCGTCGACTGAGTTTCTGTTCCTTATTTGCGTTGACTTTTCACTTATTTTTGTCGTGAACTTTTCACATTCTTTTTTATTTTTGCATCTCCTTTGCATGGACTTTTCATGTTCTTTTTTGCATCTTTTTTTTGCATTTTTCTTGGCAGTGCTCACGCTACAGCGCTGTCAAGAACAATGAATTTTTGTTATCAGTATAAAATTGAGATATGCTTTTAATTGTTAATCCCAGTCAAGAATGACTTTTTATAGTTAAATATAAAATTGTTAACAATAAAATTGTCAAATCAAAGTATGTGCAGCATTTTTTATGCTCGTCTAGGATCAAAGCATAAAAGTAAGTTGGTGACAAACATTATTTGTTAACCAAAGTGACTTGGAAATTTGTAAATTTAATACAATTCTAGTGGCTACTTGACTGCTCTTTGTAACATGCCATGTATGAAGAATATACAGCTGCAAGAACCATTATCGGTATCCAGGAGCACCGTGAGGAGTACATGCTGCAGCAGAGCAGGGCACGAAACAGGAAGAACCACCCTACTGAAAGCACAGGTTAGACAACCCCGAATGTATCCTGCTTGATCAAAACCATTATAAGTAATAATACAATTAGTTAATTAAGTACAAAAATAACAATCAAAATATAACTATTCATTGTAGAGCAATCTCCCCCTAATATCTTCTTAAGATTGTGAAAACTACAAATATTTATATTTTTTTCTTTTAGATGAATATGGTAAAAAAGCGTGCTATCCATGGAGAATGTCTTGTCTTTTTCAGAGAGAAGAATATATATACAAAATATCTCTTTCAATTGAGTATATCTTAAATGTGTCATACATGCTATCTCAAATAATCTTCCCTCAGACCTGCAACATGTGTCCCAGCAGCATGCTTGTTTGTACACGTCATGCATATCAATCGGCAAAAGATTGTAAATATCTGAATTGTATAATTGTATATGAGAAGCAGTAACATATTTTTATAAGCGAAGTATGGTGATTGTAGCGTGAGCATAAAAAACTACCAGTCCCTTCTGATTCTGATTCCAAAAGACACCCACTTCACAATTCATGAGAAGGCTACTTACAATCACTGCTACCTTTGTGCTACAATGAACAGCAACCAACTAAAGATCTCTACTGGACAAACTACAATGCTTATAAGCAGCACCAAACGGACCAAGCAATTATCTTTGTCAAATAAATATGAGCAAACAGATTTGGTACACATATAAGCAAACTAAAACTCTTGTTTCTTAGAAAGATCAATTTCTGCAAGGAATGAGTACCAAATCATATCGTTGTAAACATTTGACTATGGTGCAGAAATCAATGACTCTATCGTGTATACTGAAAATATAGTCCTAGTCCTAGCTAATGCCTATTGAGTAATGAAAGGAACAACATATCTGGTACATGGGGCAAAATACAGCATCAACTAACTTGAGATATGCATATTTAAATAGAGTGGAAATATTTGTGATCTAGAGGTAGCGTGAGCATAAAAAACTATCAGAACAATAACGTGTAAGATTTTACCATGGGACAGCAAGGAGCTGAAGAAAATGAGTTTATGAAGTTGTTCGATGAAGGTTTTAAAATGCGGTAAGGAGATATGCACATTTTCCATGCAACACATACCTTGCAGAATGACTAAATTAATAGAAATAGTTTCAGTGAAACAAAATCACAAACCAATTTGAGAAAACTGTACCAGCAAAAGGCCCTGTTTCCAGTAGTGTGCACGGCTTCGCAGCCAGGCTCACCAACGACGAGAGGAACAGGCTCGCCGGTATAACACTGCTACAATGTTACACTGTTGCCGTGTATTCATTCTTAGATCGAGAATCAATTTCACGTCGCCGCCCGCCAAATGGAAGGGGGTCTGCTCCAACTTCACCTGCAACAAGTACGTCGTACTACCTCTTATCGATCACTACCATGCATGCATTCATGCATTTGATGACATGTCATTACTTACATCTATCTATCCATCTATATATCTTGCGGCGGCACAGCAAGATCATCGGAGCGCGCGCGTACAACAACGGCAGGACGACGCTGTCGCCGCGCGACACGGACGGCCACGGCACGCACACGGCGTCGACGGCGGCGGGCCGTCCCGTCCCGGGCGCGAGCCTAGGCGGTCTCGCATCCGGCACGGCCCGCGGCGGGGCGCCCGGCGTGAGACTAGCCATCTACAAGGTGTGCTGGGGTGCGGACGGGTGCTCCGCCGAGGACATCCTGGCGGCGTTCGACGACGCCATCGCGGACGGTGTGGACGTGCTCTCGGCGTCGCTCGCCACGCCGTTCCCGTTCGACTACGCCGACGACCCGATGGCGGTGGCCGCGTTCCACGCCATGCGGCGGGGCGTCGTCACCTCCGTCGCCGCGGGCAACGTTGGCCCCGAGATGGGGTCCGTCAGCAACGTCGCGCCGCGGATGGTCGTCGCGGGCGCGGTCAACACCGACCGCAAGATCGTCAGCGAGCTCGTGCTCGGCGACGGGAGGCGCGTCGTGGCGAACTCGTCCATCAACGTTTTTCCCTCATCTTGGGAAGCCGGCGCTGCTCGTGGACCCTGGGAGCTGCACGGAGGGGAGCAGCTCAAGGGAAGAGGTACAAGGGAACCGTGCTCCTGTGCGGCTTCGACATGGATTCCGACGCCTTCGCCGCCACGGGCGCTCATGGGGCCATCCGGTACAGCTTGATGCCGGACGACGACGGCGCCAACAACATCGCCTTCTCATATGCGCATCCGACCATGGTGCTCAACCGCGAGGAATACGACCACATCGTCGACTACTACAACAACACCACCAGGTGCCATAGATGTCAGTGGCCGTGTAGTCATCGTGTCGTGCTGTTTCTGTCCGTGCTTTTGATTGATTTGCAGGAACCCTATGGCCACGGTGAAGAGCAGCGTGATGATCAGGACGCGTCCTCGCCTAGCGTGGCGAGCTTCTCCTCCCGCGGGCCTAACCGGATCACCCACGGCGTGCTGAAGGCGGACATCAGCGCGCCGGGGGTGGAGATCCTGGCGGCGTGGTCGGGGGCGGAGTCGGTGTCCGACATCGACGCGGACACGCGGCGCACCAAGTACAACATCATCTCGGGCACGTCCATGGCCACCCCGCACGTGACGGCCGCCGCGGCGTACG